CCATTTTATGGGCATTTTAGTCTGTGCTACTATATATATACACACACATGCAGAAAGATTAGAAAGAGATTCATACAAAGGATTGGCTCACTCAATTATGAGTCTGGGAAGTTGCACAATCTGTAGGCTACAAGATGAAGGCCTAGAAAAGCTGGTGGTATAGTTTCAGTCCATAGTCAAGGGTGGGAGAACCAGGAGGACCCATGTCCCAGGGCAGAAGATACAGTGGTATCATTAGGTATATATTACTCATTTTACAGATGCAGATACTGAAACTCTGGGAGGGTATGACATACCCAAGGAATAACATTTTGTAAGTGCCAGACCTAACAACAGAACACAGAACTTCTGGCTCCTAACTCAGCACTTTCCACAATACCACATTGTGCTACCATTTAAAATAAAACCAAACCAACTTTCTTGTTGGCCTACACTAATAATTTATATTTTTATAAACATTTCCATTAAGTATACATAAAGAATATGCATTTTAAATGTACAGCTGGATGATTTTTTTCAAGGTAAACATACCTGTATTACCACCACCTGGTTCAAATTTATAACATGATCACCTCCCAGAAGCCTCCCTTATGATCCTGCCAAAGCTAAATCGCTCTTCTGATTTCTTTCCCTGTTTGTTATTTATTTTGTGATTTTGAACACTATACACATGAAATAGTTCATTATGTACGTACTTCTGCATTGTTTCTCTCAACATTATATTGGTAAACTTTATCCATTATAATGCATTACAGCATAGAATTTCATCATGTGAACTGACCATAATTTAAGTGTCTATTATTTTATTGACGGGTAAGTAGGCTGCTGTCTGACAATCTTTTCCTCATGATTGGAATATTTATACCACTTACATATAATGAAACTACTGACACTTTTTTTATTTAAATCTATCAAATTGGTATTTGTTTGATAATTTTTCATCTTGTATTTTTTCCTAATTTTTCTTTCCACCATCAGAACCAGGAAGCTATCCTTCAAGACACTTTCCCCTGAGTTACTATTCTAAAGTAAGTTCTCACTTCTCATTGATTTATTAACACCTCAGTTATATGTAATATGAGCATAATTGTTATTGTCAAATCTACTTTATATTCAAAGTAATGTATGGAAGTAGATTCTTGTATTAACCAAGTCACAAATAACCATATTCTTACTTTTGATTTATTTTCATTACAATTGTAGTCCATAAAGAATCTTGATGCTTATTCTTTTCGTTAAGCCCACAAACCAACAATGTTTAAAGAAATCTCACTATAAGAAATCCACACAACCTAGAGAGTAAGGCAGCTAAGTAGAAAAACAACACTTACTAAAGGTGAAGATCAAGGATAATGGTGGAGTTTTAGAATAACAGTAATAAGATGGTGATAAGCATTCTTTTTGTCTAAAGGTAGACTGGCTAACCTAATTTAGCCTGCAAAAAATCCATATATATCATTTGTTTTGCTCAAATTGGATTGGGCACATGCTGGATAGTTACAAGATTTGGTAAATTAACCATTTTAATCATTTAATCAGTCAACAACCATTTACTGAAACTACTGGGTTTCTATGATTCTAGCCGCTCCCCATCATCAACACACTATATGAATTTGAGATGTTTCTTATATCTAAAATTGTCCCAGTTTCTTTCCAGTTCCTATTCCATTTAAATCTGTAAATAGGCTCTATCATGATATAATGCTAACAGCAGCAACAACAGCAACACAAATTAAAACTCCGAAACCATCAATATCAAAATTTTCAACAGTCACATGTATCATTTTGCTTTCTTCACTTAGATATACACTGGCATGAAAACAGAGTACTTGGAGAATTTGCATTGCTTTGCTTTTTCCCAATTCATGTATAATTTCCTCCGGAACTAACATACAACAGGTGCTTATACACAAGTTGAATTAATAAATGCATTTTGTTGATTTAGTTATTCGTGAAGACATGAATGCAAACTCTGAATGTACAAAACAGAATACCATGAAGAATCATAAAGAAAAAAGTGTATCAAACATACTGCTACCTACAAAAACAAGTAAGTTCAAAACCAAAACCACTGTCACTTTGTTGCGATAAGACCAGTGAAGATTCTTCAGGTAAGTTTGAGAAAAACTTACATATCAAAAACTTCATGATATATAATGTAAATTTAAAAAGTTCAAAGTCTGCTTTAAGTTTTAGGAAACTCTATTTAAAATGATATAAATAAATGAATGCCAAAGTAAAATTCCTTTGCAGCATTAAATATACTCCACTTTTCATCATATAATACAGTACAAAGTACAACTCTTTTTGATAACTGTAGTTATCAAAAAAAAAATCCCAATATGGAATACAACAAAAATAGCTCTTTAAATGTATATTCTATTACCCATGGCACCCAAGTGTAAACATAAGAGATTGGAAATGAAAGAAACACTTTTGTTGTTGATAGTACAAAATCATCTAGAATACTTTTTTTAAGATGAACAGAAAGACTCATTTGCCACATAATATTTTGTGCTAATTCCACTCATTTTCTGATGTAAAGCATCAGATCTTGGATATTTTCACTTCACCTTTGCTGTGGTGGGTGTGTACAAGAGAGGAGAAAAACAGATGAAGATTACTTTCAAATCTCTGTTAGTTCTGCCTATGTTTGAATGAATTCCAAAGTAGTATTGGTTCGTAAACTAAGAGACTGTGATGATTGCAAATACTTAATAATGTCATATATTCTTATTGGGCTATCTGCTCAAAAAACCCATGAGAAACACACAATAAGGAAAGGACACTATTACCCCCTTACATGTGGACAAGCAAAATCTTAAGTGAACATACATAAAAGAATGTTCCCCAGTGATTCCTGTATGTCTACAGAATATGTCTCAAAATTAGAAATATGTTAACTATTTTAACGAAATCCTCATCTTTTGACTTATAGTTAATTCCTCTCTACAGCTTCTCCTGCAGAACAGATGTAACATAGCTTAGTCCCCATACAAATGTTTCCGTATGGCCTGAGTTTGGATTTCAATGAAAACTGACTCTATTTTCTTATTTTATTTTGATATTAAAATGCAATATCAGCTGTAATTATATGATAATATTCTAGTAAAGAAACTATGACAATATGAAAAGGCATTGGCTCCATTATTGCTTGCGTATACCATGCAACTAAGGTGTTCTCTAATGTCATGTCTCAAAGATAAATCTATATTTCTGATGCTAGTGACTTGGGTTTTTTTAAGTTTATTTATTTACTTTTGAAAGAGAGAGAGAGCGCTCTCATGTATGTCAGGGAGGGCAGAGACAGAGGGCGAGAGAGAGGATCCCAAGCAGGCTCCACATTATCAGTGTGCAGCCCAACGCAGAGTTTGAACTCACGATCTGTGAGATCATGACTTGAGCTGAAATCAAGAGATGGAAGCTTAATTGACTGAACCACCCAGGCGCCCCTGGTGCTAGCGACTTGTAAATGACTCAACCATGCTTCAACTGAAACTATATTCCAGTTTAATAAAGATTAATTATTTTAATGCCCTTATAGTGCTTACTAAATAGGAAAGATATTCCATAAACATTCTTTTCCTCTCAGTTCCCCTTATGTCTCTACTCGATTAAACAAAAGGGTATTATCCACTTCACTTTTATAGGAGCTTAGAACCTGGTAAGTGATAACATTTGTCCTAGAGAGATGTCGTCACTATTTATGTGAAGGCTGAAAACGAGATGTAGTTAGAGTAAAAATCGAAATACTTTCCTTATTAAATTTCGGTCAAGTTTTTAAAAAAATATTTCATCTAAACAAAATTAATGCACAATTTACTTTATTATATGCGTGCATTTTTAAAAGATGTGCATGAAGACATGGTAAATCCCTGGTACGTTTGCAAAAAGGAGGCGCCAACCAATGATACCTGGAACACTGAACCCTGTGACAATGCTTGCCTGAAGTAGAGAGACGACAAGGCTACTGAAGGCTCAAAAAAGGATATGTGGTCTACAGTAAAAATATTATAAATTTTGAAGTCTCTTGCCTTTTTTAAGGTTGGTCAGGCATTTTCTTACAAAATATTTTGTGTATTTACAGTAAATACATATTTTACGTATTACATAAATCCACTTGTAAACATTCTTTTTGAAGACATGGTATTTCTGCTGGAGAAAAATGGAAAGCACTTACACTCAGGTGTGTTATTTTTGGACACACCTAATAAATTGAGTCTAATGCTCATTTTTAAATCGTGTGGTGGTGACATAATAGCTCCCCATTTTTACAAATCGAACCAGCCAAAATAAAACGGACGAGATTCAGTAAGACATAAAAAGACAAAATCCTAAACGGCTATTAAGTCTTCCACGTGACCTTTTTAAAGTTGTAGAGAGTTGTACGTCCCGTATATGACAGATGTAGTTTTTGTGAAATATAAGGGTATTTGGGAGATAAGAAAAAAAGTACGTTTCCTTTAATATTCCTGTCTGTGTAAGTATTGAATAGTACCCGGGATGGCTAATGAATACTGTTGCTGTTTTAACAGCACTGTGTATTAAGCTACGCTTTCTTTGCCTAAATTAAAGCAGTTGGGGACCTAGACTCTTCCCTCAATGGAGATCTAATTTACAGCAGTAGCAAAAGGGATCCTAACAGACTCAGCGCCTGATTCTCCTGTTTGCTAAGCACAATTTCCTGCCGCTAGGATGCCTTCAGAACCGAGTTGAAGTTTCTCAAAGATGCTTAAAGAGATTTTAAGGAGCGAGGATATCAGCGGGTAGAATGCAGGCCCGCGAGCAGGACACAACTGCGGCCAGTACGCACAGGGAAACTAAAACCACCGGGAGCAAAGTGACCACGGCAAAGGCAGGGGAGGGGCCGGGTGACGGCCGGTCACGACCAACCACAACATCCCGCCGTACATTAAGATGCCCCGTGACACTCGTCCTGTCACCTGACAGGCCCCCACGTCCACACCACCCGACGGCGTGCGCCCCACTCAGCCCCCTACCTCTCCGACCTTGCTCGTGACCTGGCCCAGGTTCAGCCACTCGCTGCTGCGGCGGCGGGCGGACTTGCCAGCTGTTCCTGCTACGTTTTGGGTGGGACGCGGGTTCCGGCTCGCGCCTCTGCCACCCCTGGGAGCGGAGAGCTAAGTCCGCCTGCGCGGGGTCCTGCGTGGTTCCTGCCCAGGAGGTCACGCAGGTGGGGGAGCGGCGCAGTCCGCAGCGCGCGCGCCAATCCCTCCTGCTGTTCCCCGCCCTCGCATCCCCCTGGGCGCGCGCAACCGGAGGGAAGGCTCGCCCGTGGGGCTTGGCGCGCGCACCTCGCCAAGCGCAGTTGTTTAAGGAGGACGTAGTAGTTCTAGAAACTGCAGAGAGGAACTTCCAATTGATGTGGCCCCGGATGGTTCCGTTGGAAGGGGCAGTGCCCCTGACTGTCCCAGCAGACAGATCCTCCAATCAATCCTCTGTGCCGGATTGCTTACGAAAACCAAGCTTCTCAGAAGAAGCTTCTGCCACCTTCCTTCTCAGTGAGGCAGTGAAGGCTCAGGTTGCAACAGCAGCATTCCCTCCTTTCCCTGCAGCTTTCACAGGATTAATGAAAGGAACAGCCTAACTCATGCTTCAAACACGCGGCACTAGTAACCACTGTATGACGCTGAGTCCAGAGTTCTTTCAGCATAACTTCTCTGCTGGCTCCGTACCAGGAAAACCAAATGCCGATTGAACAGCTGCCCCATGGTCCCCAGATCCAGTAGGCCCATCCCTCCCTTGATTCACAGACCTGCTTCAAAATTCTCTTTTCCGGGGCGCCTGGGTGGCGCAGTCGGTTAAGCGTCCGACTTCAGCCAGGTCACGATCTCACGGTCTGTGAGTTCGAGCCCCGCGTCAGGCTCCGGGCTGATGGCTCAGAACCTGGAGCCTGTTTCCGATTCTGTGTCTCCCTCTCTCTCTGCCCCTCCCCCGTTCATGCTCTGTCTCTCTCTCTCCCAAAAAAATAAATAAACGTTGGAAAAAAAATTAAAAAAAAAAATTCTCTTTTCCATGATTTCCTGTCTTAGGAATGATTCCCTAGCTTCCTCTCAACTGGAAGCCTGGTCCTATTCATTTTGTTCTATAGCCACCAATCCCCGAAACCTATCTATCTGCTCCTTTAACAAAACTCAGTTCCATCCATCTTCTTCCTTTATTCCTGACACTTCTTGTGCAGACAGCCATCACCTCTCTTCTGTGTTATCGACAATATGTCTTCTTGCTTTCTTGTTTGCCTGTATTTCTACTTAAATCTGTCAATTAACCCAATGTCCTTTGCATAAGTTCCCGTTCAAAAGATAAGCTGCAAGAGTCTTCACCATGGACTCCCCTCCATCCTTATTTGTTCTTTTTCTCTTATCAGCATGTACCCACCCCCGACACACACACCTCATTCAACAGCTTACAATTTCCTGATATGACCAGCCTCATTTCTTTCATATAATAGGTCCCTGACCTGAAGGTTTTTCTGTTTCTTCTCCTTCTTCTTCTTCCTCTTCTTCTTCTTCTTCTTCTTCTTCTTCTTCTTCTTCTTCTTCTTCTTCTTCTTCT